GCCTGTCCAGCTCGCTGCGAGCTGGTGTGGAGCTCGCCCGTGTGCAGCTCACGGCAGCCCGGGCGGAGTCCGCTCGCGCATATCTCGTGCTCAACCTGCCCAGTTCGCCATGGCCAGAGCGGAACTCGCCTGTGCGCAGCTTGCGATGGCCAGGATGGAACACCGCACGTCGACGAGCCTCCATTCTCCTAAGCAGCAAGGAGACATTGGACTGAAACCGCATGTTGCAAGTGTTTTTTTTTAAGTATTTCAAATGTTTCAGAGGTATGTTGCAAGTGTTTAAATTGATGTTGCAAAAGTAGATGAGGATGTTGCATATGTTGCAATGATGTTTCATGTGTATGTCTTAAATGTTTCATCTGTTTCAGACGTATGTTGCAAGTGTTTCATCTAGATGTAGCAAAAGTAAATCTGAATGTTGCATATATATGCATGTTGCAAACGTATGTTTTCAAGTATTTCAGGTGTTTCAGACGTATGTTGCAAGTGTTTAATCGGGATGTTGCAAAAGTAGAGCTGGATGTTGCATATACATGCATGTTGCAAACGTATGTTTTTAAGTATTTCAGGTGTTTCATACGTATGTTGCAAGTGTTTCATCTGGATGTTGCATATGTTTTGCAATAGCTACACACGGGTTTTCCTATTTAGATGTATATTGCAAATGTTTCAATTATTGACGTATGTTGCAGGTGTTTTCATCTAGACGTGGTAAAAGTAGATCTGGTGTTGCACTTGTTGTAATGGGACCCACCTGTAGCAGCTGCTGGACCCGAGTGCATGCACGTGGGAGCGTAGGGCGCGCGAGCGGCAGGCGCAGATCGAGACGCGCGTCCCGCGTGGGTGCACACAGGTGGGGAAACAGAGTGGCACGGCCTCCACGTGAAGCAGGCGCAGGCATGCGGGTGGGCGTAGCAGCATGCGTACGCGGGGGCGTGGACAGGCGCAGTAGGCGCGGGCGTCTGGACGCGGGGGTCTAGACGAATGTCTAGGCGAGGGTTTAAGATTAAAGTAGCTTGTAAATTGGTGCAAGATTAATATGAATAGTGTCTGCAGAAAGTCTCTGGAATTGTTTGTTTTGAATTCATAATTCTGAATTTGGAGTCTTTCGACTCAAGACTACTACTAGTTTCTGATGCATTAAATTTGATTTTTTTCTTTGCAAACATTATAAAATATGATTTGAACCAGAATATTGTGCATAGCAATACAACCGTACCAGTGCCGGTCCTAGAATTTTAAGGGCCCTATGGCGATCTCGTCGCAACGGCCGCTCTTGACTATGTAAAAAATCTTATAATATATAGGCGCTAATTTTACTTGTAAAACGAAAGTAAATTCAATAACATATTTTTAATTTAACATGTTTGATTATTATCGATGAACAATATATATTAAGCAATATATTTGTAGATGTATGATAATTATCGAGGAACAATGTAGATTAAAAAAACAATATATTCGTTTTGTTTTCTCACCCATGACAAATGTTTTTAGATAACATTCTAAAATTCTAACACCTAAATTAAAAGAAAAATATGACTATATAGGCACAAAGTACTGGAAGTCTGGAATACTATATAAATAATTAATTTAGATTAAAATAAAAAGGAAAAAAAATACATTGGGCCTAAACAAATGGTCGGTGATCGCAATTCGTAAGAAGCCAAGAATCAAGATGTCGTCGTCGTGGAGCCCTGCCTGGTCGCCGTCCTCGTGTGCCGTGCCCGTGTCTTCGATAGTTTAGCTCTTCACGGCGGCGCGGCTCGCCAGCTCTGCGTGTGTAAGGCGCACGTCGCGAACTCACGATCAGAGTGTGCTGTATGCAGCGTGACTCCTCTCCTCCTCTCTACCCGAGGGCCGTGGGGAAAGAAAACTAGGAAAGAAATACCGATGTTGTCTTTTTAGACCGCCTGACCAGTTCTATGTCTCTCTTCTCATTAGTTTGCTAATGCCTAATAAACTATAGGACCTGGAAGTTTGTATACCTGGACTTGGGCCCCTCCTTCGTTTGGGCCCTCGGCCGTCGTATCTCGTGCCCTACCCCTATGGCCGGCACTGGACCATACCTAAATCTGTACTTGGTATTCCTAAAAACAATCTGTATTTGTTGGCTCAGCCCGAGAATCGATCAAACTGAAGGTTTACCCGCAGACAGTTTTCATTGCCTGCCTTTATAGAAAGCTTATCAAGACAAAAGATCCGATGCTGGGAGTACCAGCTTACAATAAAGTTCACGTCGCTACTGAGAGTGACTGCCCAGAACGAAAAACCAAAGACCTCTACGAACGTTTAAACCTGACATCAAACAACCAAACACCAACGTTAAGGGAACGAAAACGCTTACAACCACACCAACGTTACATGGTAGCAGCATTAGCTGTCACAAGATTAATCATCTCCTCTGCCATGGGCTTCAGCTTTGGCTTCAACAGGGGCTCCATGTCTTCATTTACCAGCATACAGTTACCCATTAAAATGCTATAATATGCCAGAAATTAGTTTTTTTTTAATTTTTAACCTCTTTCCAAACAATTTTTAAAATTAACACCGTTGCTTTTTTTAATTTCCGAATCTAACCTGTTTGGCCACGCCTAAGCCCCTGGCGCGCCCAAAACATGCTGCTGCGCCACATGCATCGGCGCGATACGATCTACCACGGTGGACAATGATTTCCTTGTGAAAAAGCTTGCCATGTCCCTCCTGTTGACATGGCAGCACTGTAGCGCCACGCCATCCAGATCAGTGCGGCAAACGCAACCTTAGAAAAATCGTATTTTTTCATACAATCTCAGATGAAGATGATGTTTATATCAAAATTGGATCTCTCGACGAGATCTACAACTTTCTAGTTATGAGTTTTTTTTAATTTGAGATCGTTAAGATGCTAAAAAAAAGAATAGTAATGGATTTTTCTTCAAACCATAATATTTATAATGATATGGCTCAACTCTTGTTCATTTAGCTATGATGCTTAGCCATACACTCATACTCCCTCCGTCCCAAAAAGAATGATACGAGGTTTGTGCTGGTCAAACTTTATTAAGTTCAGCTATGTTTGTATAAAATATTAGTAATATTTGTATATTCAAATGAGTTTATTATGATAATATATTCTGAGATTCATCTAATGATACTAATCATGCATCAGAAATATTAATATTTTCTTATATATATTTGGTCAAAAGTGCATAAAAATTATATTGCCAATTCCATTTTAATTATATTCTTTTTTCTTAATGTTAATAAAAAAGAAGAAAATTCTGGTTTTTTCTTTCCAAAACCCTGAGATATTATTACTACGAAGGATAACCAACGATCAAAATGTTTGGTTCAAAATTATATTGCTTCATCCGATCCTTTCTTTCTTTTACCTAAAAGAAAGAAAGAACTCAAAATAAAATAAAAAATAAGAAAAGTATGTTTTTTTTTCAAATCCATTCTAACCAACGAACAATTCTTACCTTAACCTGAGTGGACTAAAGCGGCAGATTGCTAATCCATTGTACAATTTTTTTGTACCGAGGGATTCGTTCTAAGAATATTGTACCGAGGAATTCGACATATAAAAGTACATTTATTAATTAATCCAAATTATTCATTCGATGAAAATGGTTGACTTTTCAGAAAGTGAGAATAACACTCTTTATGGGACAAAAGGAGTACATACCAAACATGTATCCCTCCGCCCGAGTGTCATTTCCACTTCTCGAGAAGCCAAACATTTGCAACTTTGACCAAATATATAAGAAAATATTAATATTTATGCTGCATAATTAATATTATTAGATGAGTTCCTAAATATATTTTTATAATAAAGTTATTTTTGAGATACAAATGTTGCTAATATTTTAGTCAAACATACAAAATTTGATCAGCACAAACACCACAGCGACACTCTTTTGACCGAGGGAGTACTGGCTAGTTGGATGGATCATGGATCGCCCAGTACGTTGGACTAACTAAATAAAGAAGATTGAAAAAAAAACAAATTGCCATGTACCGCAAGAGAGTGGCGCTTTCCCCTCCATGTCTGATGGGATCAAGTCTACATAGTCCCGTAACCAGAATCAAGTCTAGCTAATTTAACACATTAACTTAAATCAAGAGGGAAATGGATCTATCTGCTTGAGGATGACATGACACCTAACCTTGATAGTGGGCCGAATAAAAAAAACTCGTCTTTTAAGCTAATCCCACTGAATAATTCGATACATACCAATTTAACTAATTTAAACAGAGGAAAATTTTCTAGCTATTTGTATCCCCAAGATAGCCAAGGCACTAAAGGGCCTTTCTATTCTCATTTGTATCTTTTGGGTTTAATATGGAATAGCTCTTGAACTTATTCTACCCAGGCAAGTAGATCCAAAAGACGGAGCCAATTTGGACTCATTCTTCAGATAGGTTTTTTTAAAGAGTTAAACCAAATCCACCCTCTGAAATGTCAATATGTGAAAAGATATGAAACAACGACAAGTGTAAAACCGCTCCAAAACTACCCGAGTGCATAGACTTGATCACATCTCTTAATTGTTTATAAAGTCTGAAGATATGTTGCTTTTCCAACTTTTCAATAGCCACTGGCTCCGTTCTATTTCTTGCACAACCACTCCTCCATCCCCAAGCCAAAAGTCATCCGTTACCTCCTGGTCAGAAGAAAGGCCACACAAACTGATTTCGAGCAGGAAGAAAAGGGGAACAAAGACGGCTGCTACTGGTCAGTTTCTTTTTTGTTTATCTCCATTCTTCAATCATAGCAACCCTGTTGTGAAGAAGAAGAAGAAGAAGAAGAAGAAGAAGAAGAAGAAGAAGAAGAAGAAGAAGAAGAAGAAGAAGAGGAAGAGGAAGAAGAAAGATAATATTGTTTTTTGGTCTGGTAGGATGTTTCACTTCATTTCAAGATGTGTCAATTCTGTATGAAGTGGTCAAGAAGCAAGTTCAGAGCTGAGTTCTTTCTTCAAGGAAGCATCTGAATGGCTTATCCATCCACCTCCGGGATGGTCCAAGCTTCTTCATCCCTCCATGGCAGCATGTAAGTTAACCCATCCATTTAGCTTCCTCGATTTGGCCTTTTTTCAAGATTGATTTGCCCCTTCCACCATATGAGTTACTTCTTTTTTCAATTCTATAAAGTTGATGATTTCCCTTGAGAATCTTGTTATCTGGTCATCATGATTAGCGGAAGAAGTTTGCTATGGTTGGCAGATGATCCGATCCCTATTTCCTTCGTTCTTCTTATGGTCTTTGTTTCATCATGCGATGATTTTTTCAAAAGAAGTTAGCTAGTTCAAGTTGTGTTGTGAGTAAATGATTGATATCAAATCGATCTGACCATCAATTAATAAGCTTTACCTCCCCTATCACGCTTCTTTTTGCTTCTTTTTTAGTTCTTCCTGTTGGAGAGCCATCGATTCTTTGATGATATGCTATATTCCCAAACAAATAATTGATGTCCTTTGGGTGAACAACCTATAGTAAGAAAATGGATTAGTTCATCCTCTCTATGCTATTATTTTCGTACTACTTACTTTCTTAATTTATTCTCCTCTTCTCAATTAAAGCCCTTTTGAACTTGTGGAGCTACTCAATATATAGAAATGAGATCAGTTGTGATATTCGGTTGCATTTGTGAAAGTGCAGGAGAAGGGATCCCGAAGGATATGACATGTCATCCGATCTGGACCAAGCCCTACTCCTCTACTTTGATGGGCAGCAAGCTAAGACATCAATTCAAGAACAACAACCGCGTAAGCCGCTTAATTTCTGTAAAAATAAAGTTCATTATTTTGACAAATGCTTGGTCACTTACTCGCTTTTCACTATACGCGCACATATATGTTGAAGGAATATGTCATTGCCAAAATTCCATTAGTTCCAAATTAATGTATCACAAACTTGTCCATATGTAAGCGTTGTGATATGACTGGTTTAAATTGTAGCTTAGCCAGAAGTGCAAACCAAATAATGGTGTTCAGTGGTCTTCAATTCCTTTCCGCTTAGCTCTCTCGTCGATCGTTTGCAGATCTCAATGTGTTTTAATTTCCTCAGTTGATCCCAAACTTCATGTGTCATCACAGTTTCTCACAATATTTCTAGCTACCAAGTATCAACTAGGTAGCTAGCTGTTGGAGAGAAGTGAGTTAGTGACACGTAACGAACACTAACTGATATAGTTTCAAGATGTCATGCTAAAATTAGGCAACTGAACAATTATTGTTCCACGCTTTTCCCCCAATTTCTGACACTAAGTACCAGCATTTTACACCTCCTTTTTCCTTTGTTACCAGTTAACCACTTATTACCATTGCGTGTGAAATGAAAACAACCTATCTGAGGATAGTTTTCGCACACGCATGGAGAAAACCAGCCATATTAGGAAACTCAATAGTATATGTGCACATGCTGACATGCGTGCGTGTGCCTTTGTGTACTCTACAAAGTCATAATGTTTGAAGGGACTTGTTTCATGCGTGCAGAGACTCTCAACATCTTCCCCTCCCAGCCAATGCATCATATCGAGCCATCTCCAAAGGTATCGTTTCAAGCTCTAACGACCATAGCTACCTCAAAGCACAAGAGATATGATGATTGCTTCATGATGATGCCATACACTCATACATCGTACATATACGCCCTTCATTCCTTTCTTCCTATTCAGGGTTCCATGGCTTCTTCTTCAGCGGCGGTAGCACAGGTCGCTGGCCCTTCCAAGAACTCGCAGGCGCCGTCGTTGAAGGTGGGAGGCGGGCCGCTCGCTGCCGGCAAGAGCTCCAAGGCAGCAATCAAGGTAATATGCAATCTGATCAATCTCTACTCCCTGTGGAAGCAATTGTGTATATAGCAAATGTAATTCTTTGTTATCACAATTCACAACCAGAGAGAAGGTAGCGCCGGCGGCAAGCATGGCGTCGCCGCGGGAGCTTCGAGCTCGGATCAGGAGGGGCCCCCGACGCCGCATCCCAAGACGTTGCGGAGGCTCGCGCAGAATAGGGAGGCCGCCAGGAAGAGCAGGCTGAGGAAGAAGGTAATTATGTATTGTAGTGACGATGATGACGACCTCTACCGTTTCCCAAGCTAGTAAGCGGTAGTAATACTGATTAAAAATATGGTGGAAGGACAAGTCAACCCTCAAAACATGAGGAGAAAAAGTTTTGCAAGAAAGGGCAATTGACAAACGAAGAGATGGGGATTGGGGAGTAGACTGGACATATTATATAGGGTGGTAAAGTTAGCCTACTACCTAAGAAAATAGTTGTTTTGGACAACACATACATACATATTTATTTTTCTCAAAGTTCCGTTTCTTCATCTTCATGGAAGATATGAGCTGCACTAGATAAGTATAGAATAGAAGCTACTTAATTTCTTATGTCTAGTTGGTTGCGTGTGAAACAGGCTTATATTCAGCAGCTAGAGTCCGGCAGGATCAGGCTGGCACAGCTAGAGCAGGAGATGCAGATGGCAAGAACTCATCAGGTAAAGTGATGAAGAATATATATCTCGTGAATGTAGAAGTATTTTAGAACAATTTGGTTACAATGACAGAGATCCTATGTATAATGCTTTCAGAGGAAGTTTGTTCCAATTACTATTGCAACAAAATGGCTTACTTATCATAAACAGAACATGGCAAAAGATCAATCCATGTAATCTTTTTGCTTAATTCTGAACTGTCAAGGACGTACTAATTATGCTTCTTCATTTCTTCATAGGGTGCACTATGGGGTGCAGGAGCGCTAAGCCCAGGTTTGCTTTGCCTTGCCACTGATGACATATTTAACTACTAGTTAGCTCATCAATCAACAAATGCGGCATCTCTGTCATGAGTCATGAAAGGCTAGCTTATTAGGCTGCACGTGCATTTGCATGCAGATGCGGCGATGTTCAACCTGGAGTACGAGCGGTGGCTGGGGGAGCACAGCAAGGTGGTGGCCCGGCTGCGGGCCGCCGCGGAGGAGCACCGGCCGGACGGTGAGCTGCGGGCGTACGTGGACGAGGCCGCCGCGCACTACGGCGCGCTGATGGGCCACAAGGCCCGGCTCGCTGGCGCCGACCCACTCCACCTCCTCTCCGGCCTCTGGAAGGGCGCCGCCGAGCGCTGCTTCCTCTGGATCGGCGGCTTCCGCCCCTCCGAGCTCATCAAGGTATGTACGCTAAAATTCATCATCTACCACCGGCTGAAAGACCAAGAAGCAAGAAAGGTACACACGCAACGCATACAATGCATAATAACGCAAGTACGGGCCTGAAATGACACCTTTTGATCATGACCGGCCACCGGCTGGATGTGTGTCACTGACATGTGGTTGCATCGCACGTCAGCATGACCACAGTACCTCGCAACCAACCAATGCCAAATCCCCCAAAATGAAACTTCTAAGTACTTACGTATTATATATACAAAGTTGATGGCATGTATATTAGTCAATTATTGGTCCAGCATCAGGGATTAGGTGCAGTGGATTAGCTGGGCAAGTAAGGAGGTAGCAGGTAGGACGTCACAGTATTAGCTGATGGAACAGTTCGTAGTAAGCTAAGCTCCGTCCAGAGAAGTCGTTGTGTGCTATAGTAAGCCGGCCGCTAGACGCCGCCCGCCTGCGTACGTACATGAGTGTCACGTCAACGAGTTTCCATCTAATACAGCATGCATCAGTCGCAACTCGCACGGCCGGGAGTAGGTGGCGGAGGTGACCCACCAGCTTATTCATTGCCGCGCCGGTGTCAGTGTGTCACACGCTCGAGCTCGATCGGTCGATGGACACTTCGCATCACGCGGCGGCGGCGACGACGACGACGATCGATGTGCGTGCGAGCTAGGCTCAGACGACAACGTCCTCGTCCTCGTCCTCGTCGTCGTCGTCGTTCTACTCCCTCGCTGTCGCTGTCGACGTCGATAGATGATCTCTCGATCGCGTGCTTGGATTAATTTGGAACGCCAGGATTATTCCAGCTTTTGTTCGTGGGATTGGGATCGATCGATCATCTTCTTTTTCCTGCTAGCTACGTACCTGCTCCTGGAACCCTTTCGATGACGTACGCTAACATGCACGCACGCAGGTCGTGGTCCGGCACGTGGAGCCGCTGGGGAGCAGCAGGCGGCGGGGCGCGCGACGTGGAGCAGGCGGCGCGGCGGGCGGAGGAGGCGCAGGACGCCGAGCTGGAGGCGCTGCTGCGGTCGCTCTCCGAGGTCGTGTCCTCGGACGCGCAGCCGCCGCCGCCGCCGGGGATGATGTACGGCGGCCAGCTCTACTAACACCCGGCCGACGTGGCCGCCGGCTACATGGGGATGGGCCACATGCATGTCGCCCTCGCCATGGACAAGGTGGCCTCGCTCGGGACCATCCTCAGACAGGTATGGTCACCATGCATATATTTTCTGTCTGTCTGTCTGTCTCTTCCTTCGATTCATTTTAATTTTCAGCCAAGCCATGCATTGCTTGCTCATCGCAAACCTAGCGCAATAATGCCGCAATGCATGCAGGCGGACGAGCTGAGGATGCAGGCGTTGCACGCGCTCCGGCAGATCCTGACGGCGAGGCAGGCGGCGCGCTGCTTCATCGCCGCCGACGACTACTTCTGCCGCCTCCGAACGCTCAGCACGCTCTGGACCACCAGTCGGACGGGCCAGTTGGCTAGAGGCCCGGCCGGGTAGACATCTGATCTACGGCATGGGATGGAATACATACGCGGCCGGCTAGCTACTAGCTTAGCTATATGACGTAGTAACTTAGAAAGCGTTAAACTATACATCACATGCAAATGTATCGATGATATATATAGATACAAGATAGTATCATATAGAAGTGCTCCAGTGGTTCTCTTTTCAAAGTTGCAACAACAAAGCAGATTAATTAGTGAGGTACGTTACATATATACCGTATACTACTATACTAGTATACATATATGTTTGAACTTTGAAGGGAGAACCTTCTGAATGAAAACGATATGATTGTGATATTCATACTTGTTGTAGACTTTGTTTACATCGGAAAGCTTCGGTGGTGATGGGATGGCATGTCATTATATGGCATATCGGACCAGAAAGATTATCACCAACATCAAATAAAATGGCTAATAAGATGGAAATTACTTAAGTGCCCTTTCTAAGAAGCATTAGGATAATGTTGGCTTTTTATCAAGAAAGGATCACCGGGGTACTTATTTGTCAACTTATTAGTCTTTCTTAGCTGATTATGTTTGGCAAAATTTGCTAAGGGCACTTTGAAAGTGATGTTGTGGGCAGTCTGATTTATGACAAATTTGCTTTGAAAAATACTGCATCCATTAAAATATTTGTTTAAGGCTTAGAAGAAGAGAGAAAATTTCAAAATGACATTCGATGCCCCTTTAACGACTTCCTTCGTTCGCAAGCCCAACATGTCGCCAGTGCTCGCATACTATCATTGGTCGCCCGGTGCTTGTGCATCGCCTCTGCCCACCTTTGCCCACTAGCAGAGACCTTAACAGTCGGGTCGAGCTTCTCTCCACCTTTGCCCTACTTGCTCCTATCCGCCTCCCCAAATCAAATCAAATCAAATCAAATCTTCCATTTGCAGCATGGGTCACGACGGCGCCACTGAGGCTAACACGCCTTCATCTAATGGGCCCTCGGTGCACATCTGAGGGTGCACAACAGCAGGGCATGTGCCCTTGAGGGCAAAGTTTACTTTCCCCATCATGCACATGCTTCATCCAACAGCAGGGCATGTGCCCTTGAGGGCAAAGTTTACTTTCCCCATCATGCACATGCTTCATGTTGCGCTACTCGACGCCAACACACTGCGGGGAAACTTCTTCGAGGGATGCGTGCTCCATCACACCTCCACCGCCTCGCCGTTGACTTCCGTGGTCGTCAGGTCCACGCCCCTACCCTTGGCCCTGCCATTCACTAGTGTGGCATGACGATACTGATCTATTGTTGCTACTACAGGAGGGTAGCCTAGGGTTGGAGGCTACCATGCAATACATCAATGGGGAGCTCAAGGTTCTCGATGCACATGCAGGTCCAGTGTGCGGGTGAATCTCCAGGCATGTGCCCTAGGCCATGCCCTCACCCCATCCACATGCTGCTCCCTACGCCGACTAGTTAGGTGTATCATAGAGAGACAATGAGAGAAAAGACCATGGAGAAGAAGGGAGGGAGGGGCGAAGAAAGGGAGGAGGACGAAGAAAGGGCAGGAAAATGTGGTTTCTTCTAGCAAATCATCATGAACCATAGTGTCTAGCATCCAATTAGATTTTCCGGTGGCTAACAGTGTCTGACATCACTTTCACTGCATGTAGCAAATTTTCCCGTTATGTTTTTATTGATTACAATGAAAGGCGACAAACAATGCATCACACACCCTCTTTTCTCTCTTTAAATGAAAATTTTAATACAGAAACTGGTTTTATTTCTCATGGCCCATGGGGTTGTGGTGTGGTGGGCTCAATACCATCTTATTAGTTTAAAATATACTAACTACATCCTAAAAACTTAAAATCTTAGCAGCCAAAATGAAAGCCCTAGTTCCACCGCCATTCAACACACTGGTTCGGCATGGCGGAAATTGCCAATAAGCGTCGTTGTAGAGTGTGTGTTGTTTCCAAAACTGAATGCTACCACCTCTCTCTGAAACCTACCATTGGTACGGTGTTCCCCATGATTCCTGCAATTTTCTTCTCGATACTCATTTCTAAAGTTGGAATCATCCGGAGGAGCCTACAAATCTTAGACAACCTGGTTGATCTTGAAAATGTTACCACGCAAAGGATCTTGAGACGTTCCTACATTATTACCAATATCGAGAGAAAACTTGACAGCGCAACAACTTTCCAGGAGTTGCTAGGTCCTGCAATTTTGTGAACTTCTCCAGCAACCTTGTTAAATTGGCCAGCAGAACATGATTGAAGAAGCTGAGCAGAAGGCTGGTTCACCAAGTCAAGAGAAGGCTATAAAGGTAAATGACCGAAGGAGACAACATCTCACCATCTGATATGTCTTCGAAAGGAATACCTCTGCTTGACCCCAAAATCTTGGCACACAATATGCTCGCATAGGAGTCTGCTGGAGCAGAGACGAAGAAAAGGACATGTTCGAGGTCAATGGTAGACTGTCATTTGAGATATTTGCAAATGAACTCCTAGAAATATCAACGGCAAGAAAATTGGATATTTGGGACTCAAAAGATTGACTCCTTAATTATGTTGCCACTCGGGTAGATGATAAATGGGTCCATCTGTGTCTATGAATGTCGGCCCAATGGCAAATCTGCAAAAGGCCAATGTTTCGAGTCCTAAGTATCCAAATCTCTCGCACCTAGCAGCCCACTACATGATACATGTGCGTTGGACTTTCTAGAGGAGATGAATCTGCTGATATCTTGCACTGGCATAAGCACAACATCTTTGGGCAGGTTGACACTATGGCCAACTGGTTCCATGTTTGGCTGAGGAATGCGTAAGTTTTTCTGCGAGCTCATGACCTGAACTGACTTTGTGGGCAGCGAAGCTTGCGTTCCAATTGTAGATGAGGAATTCATCTTTGTAAAATGGTTGCTTGAGCTTGGAGAGCCAATGATGGATGGGACATTCATGATTCTCCCCAAAGGCTTCAGTTTCATCAACAAATGGATTAGAATTCCTCGGTGTGCCCTCGTGAGCTTTACGAGGTAGATCCGCATATTCCGAAATCACAAAATAGACAAGTACATTTTGTTAAGAAAAAAATGACAAAGCCATAAAATGAGTGAAGAGGCTCTTAATCATAGGGTGAAACAAAAGAAATTCATGAGAGAAAAAACTAACTCCAGAAGTGCAAATATGTATAACATAAAAAACTCAATACATGTGTGTACGCCACTAGAGCTTTGTGTGTGTGGCAGACACACGTTCTGGTTTAATTGTTAAAAGTGCCACACACACAAATTCCATTGACATAAACATAATATTGAGTTTGAGATGGAAATTGTGTAAAACAAGTTCTATCCAAATATCTTTAGCAATAATATAGTGGATGAGAACACAAGCATAGTGATTGAGCATAAGAGTAGAAACCAAACCTGCAGATGGCTGGCGACATGCTCTCTAGTAAAGCCTTCCACATTCATGACTTCTAATATCTTCTTCGGAACTGCCCCTGTATTTACAACAACAAAATATTTGTTAAGAGAAACATATTTAATAGAAGAATTATTGATGGATAAAGCCATGAAATGTGAGAACTTACTGTCATGCCAATCTGATGGACAGCTTGAACAAACTTCCAGTGTAGTTAACCATACCATTGGACCCTTTGCTTCTTCCAGGTTGACGGGTTCTCGTTGTCCTCGTCAGCAACATCCACAACCTTTTTATTTTTCCTTGAATACTTGGTGTGGTTTGCTCCAACCTTCTCAACTTTATCACCATCCTCAGATGGCAACTTCCGAACATTCCGTGGATCAGTCTTACTATTCTTCACCACATGTGTCCATATGCCCCTAAGCTGTTTGAGGCGCACTGGCTTTACCATATAATCACAGGCTCCATGCTTTATCCCTTTCATTAGAGTTCGTGTCTCACTTTTTGCGGATAGCACTGCATGACATAAGGCAACATAAGTCAATTATGATATATAGAAGTCAACAAGCTCAATACACTAGACATTGAATGATCTAGTGGCCTTCATGTTTGGTTCACTAGGCACATTTTTCAAATTCTGTTTTCTTTAGGCATTACATGTGTCATTTACATTCATTTTTAAAAAAATGTGTCATACACATAGTAAATGCAATTCTCTATCATTTCCACTTTTGTCATTCATAATTTCACAAAAGAAACTTTACAGATCTACTAGAATGGGGCATTGTTCACATCCTTATGGAAACGACTAGTTATTATGAAAACCAACAATAACGAACTAAACTGCAGGCCACAAATTCATAAGTCATCTTGGTTGCGCCTAGAGCTTACTAATCCATGGCAATGTATGAACCATACATGACAGGATTGAATTACTAGATTGATTGCTCCTGTTACTTAATTATGAACAAATGGTAACACATGAAGCTACAAACAACAATATTTAGTAGCTATTGATTGCATCTACTGCATATGAACAAACAGTAGCATATGAAATGAACTACAAACAACAATTCAGTAGCTAGACTGATTCAACGATTTGGATTTGGATTTGTTAAAAATTTTCTTTCGCGGTTGAAACTAATGAAATGCACAAGATTTTAGAAGTTCTGATCCAAATTTCAGTAAAAAATGTTAGATGAAATCTGAAAATTTGAATTTCTAATTGGTTCACTAATATGCTTCCTACATTGTATTTACAACTTAGCCATAGGCCACAGCCTAGTGGACAAGCAGCTTCATGTCATGGGTAGTCGGCTGGGCCTATTGGGCTGGGTTTAGAAGTGTCGCCCATTAGTGTTAGGGTTAATTAGACATAAGGGTCTTTTGAGGAGAGGTATCCATTAATGAATCGAGCAGAAGAAATAGATCTATTATCCCAATCCCTTCTCCTATCCATAATGGCCCTAACCCAAGTAGACCGACATCAGCCTGCAGCCGGACCACGAGGGCAGGGATAGGAGAAGGGACTATGATAACAGATCTATTTCTTATGTTCGATTCAGTGGATACATCTCCTCAAGAGACCCTTATATCTAATTAACCGTAACA